GAAGGAAGGAAAGAAAGAGAGAACATATTATGAAGACTAAAGGTCTAACTAGTGCACACTTCTATTTAGATAAGAAAAATTATCAAAAGTGTTACACCAGATCCCCAGAGATCCATAACTAGTTAATGGCTGAATTTCACATATTTAAATACAGAACTTGTTATTTGACACATTGCCCTTTTGTCCTCTTGAATCCAGAAAGCAAATACAAGGTCCACACTTGTGGACATATGATATTTTAATTCATTGAGTTTATTTGCAACATAGGTCCAATCTTACAGCCCATTCTGTTATTTCTGTATGCTTTCTGTCTACCGCAAATTAGTTCAAATAGAGCAAAGAAAATTAGAAATTCTCTTTCTGCAATCCAGGGAAGTGATGCTTATTCCATTCATGTCTGAACAAAGAGGACTATGATTTGACAGATAAGGGCTGTTAGCTTCTTTGGGAGACATATGTCCTCTTTAGGAGTATGGTTCATATCATCCACTTTACTCTTCTGAGTGAAACTTGATCAGGTGCAGAAGGGATGAGAAGTTCAAGGTTAAGAGCAGAAGGGATGATAAATTCACGGTTAATGATTCTGTGTCATTAGTTAGGGATTAGATGAGTGTTAGAGGGGTATAAAGTCAGACACCATTTCAATAAGGTTTTTCAATAATTTGTTATAAAGATACTATTTTTCTGAATGATAAAGGAACAAGAGCATTATTTTGTGATATTTGGAGAATAGTAAACCTTCATTTGAAGATGCAAAGTGATCAGCAAACCTCTCCTAAGCATTCCAAAGTAAGGCATGATTCTATTTGCAGCTGACTAATAAGTTAACCCTAAAATAGTCTTCATTATTCGACAAAAACCTTCTTAGCTGAATTACATTTGGAAGTGCATTTAAAATGCAAAGTCAACTTGAAGAATCTGTGAGTTTCTGTTGTTGCTTTTTTTTTTTTAACTGTTATCAAGGAAATAAAGTCAAATCCCAAGTGACATTAGATTCTTTTTAAATAATAACTTTCCTTAGAATTAGAGCCATTTATAGTAATAGGAAGTTAACTATATTTCACAGCCAGGTTTTAACCTCCAAAATGTTCAGCAGTGCTAATGTATTAAAGTCTAGAGATATGACATTGAATTTTCTTGCAATTAAATTCTATGGGTCTATGCTGCTCATTGCCATAACAAAAGGGTCATTTTAATCATCACACAAGTTGTGGTGCATTAATCTGTATAATAGTTTGATAAAGAATATTTATTAATTTAAAAATTTTAAGTCAGGATGGGTTGTTTCCCACTTTTCTTACTGATATAATTGAGACCACATTGTAGAATTAATGGTGGAAGAAATAAGATACGCATTGACTGGAAAATGAAAATTATTTCTGATAAAAAACTAAAGCCCTTGATATAACTTCCGGAATTACCTCCAGTCCATCTTGTAACTATTGTGGAGGAGAACAGTGGAAAGCAGGCTGCGGACTCCCCTTCTTCTTATGAAGCCAGTTTCTGGTCCCTGCAGGCAGGTTGTTTTTTTCCCGCCCCCATCTACAGTAGATAATAAAAGAATTTTAGTAATTTTATCTTTAGCTTAGTGCTGCCAAGTTTGACAAAGCAGCATTCCTCTCTTAAATATATTTGGCCAAATTTTTTTTTTTTTTTTAGGAAGGCCTATCATTCATCTCTGTGGAAACATACCATTGAACAGCATAGTGGCTGAAGGGGGTTTCTGTATGTATACCTCACACCTAGGCCCATAAAAATGGAAAGAGGCTCTCTAACCTGAATCGATCTCAATATTATCTTTCTTTTTCTTTTTAAAAAAGATTTATTTATTTATGCATACAAGAACTGGGGTGTAGGTCACAATTTGGGGGGGGGCGTGAGAGGATTCACCAGAGTCAGAGTGGGGAGCAAAACAGGTGGATCTACTGAAACACACTGGGGGAGACAGGAGAGGTCTGGTGCACCATGTGGGCCAGCTCTCTGGCCCAAGATCTAACTTATGCTGCAGTGGCTGGATAGCATGATAGTGCTGTTTTCAACCCCTGCACCACCAGGGAGGTACCTCAGTATTTACTATCTCTTCAATTCCCTTATCCTTTTTCTGGGGATAAGGCCCACATCATCAACTCATAGTCTGAAGCTCCTGTTGTCAAGGTCAGACTGGGCAGAACAGACATTCGCAGTCTCACAATGAATTTTGGACACAATGACTTCTAAAATGTTACTTATATTTAGTTCAGGGCATGTATTGTAATATATCATAAACTTTCATTGTACTTTAAAAGCTTTCTGTAAAATGCCATGATGATTTGTGGCTATAACTTAAATGTACTGGCTAACTTTGATGCCATCTGATCACATTTGACCTAATTAAGGGCTTATGTAGGTCATCTCTTATAGAGATTAGAGCAAGCTTCAGGCAGAGTTGATGCTCCCGGTTTGACCTTAATGAATGGCTGCACTGGATCTAAGGAACACCAAAAACTCAAATATTTTATACTAATGTACTTCTTCTAAGTCTTCTAAGAAACCCTAACAAAAGGAACTCATGGGTATGACAGTGATATGGATGAATTATGACAGTTGCCTGCATCTGAAATATGAATAAAATCAAGGTGGGTTTGATCGGTGAAGTAGAAGAGAGGACACAGTCTCATGAACAACTGATGGTAAATGTTTCTGATTAGCCAACTTCAAAAAGCTATTCAGCTCATCTGCAGTACATTTGTCCTCAAAGTAACAGACCATCATTTACTTTTTATCAACAGTCACCTTTGTAATGACTTCCTGCATAGATTATTTGACATCAGAACTTTTAAAAAACTTGCTAAAAGGATCCAGGAGAAAGAATCTAAATGCACATTCTTATGCATTCATGATGCATCACGCAAAACTCTGATATATGTCTGCATATGGATGAGTTTAAAAATTTATATTTTCAATTTAGCCAAACTGTTGTTATTTGTTTCCTTGATACAATTATGTAACCAAAAATATGGTTAGGGAAAAAAAAGTTGTTGGGTAATTTCATTTTGTTTGACCAACTGAATCCAATTATAATTCTTACTTTTTATTATGCCCAAATGTCCGTATTAATAAAATGGAGATAATAGTATCCTATCTTACAGGTTTATTAGGAGAAGTAAATAAACTTATGCTAAGGCTCTCAAAGATAGTGTGTAGCACCTACTAGGTGCTTAATCAGTGTTAGCTACTGTTATTAACATCATTGTCATAAATAAACCTAAATTTGACAACAGGATTGAAAGTCAGCACTAAGTTTCCAAACCTGCTCTATTACTATGCAATTGGGGCATGACTAATCAGCTCTCTGAATTTATCATTAGATGGTCTAATCTGGCTAAACATTTTTGCCCAGACTACTGTGTTTTTCACAAACAGGTATCTATTTTATGTAAGTTTATGGACATCTATAAAATCAAAGGTTATAGAAAATTTTAGAACATTAGAAGTTATATACTTCTCAACATTTTGGGCACAGATTGTATATATAGCCTAAAATGTTTGTATTTCTAGGATACACATTTGAACTAGCTAAACACAGTAATGGCTTTTCGAGTAGAAGACACTGTAGTGTGCCACGAGGGTCCCAGTATAAGGCTCTGGTGTTGGCCACCCGTGGGGTATGCAGCCATCACTCGTACCCAGCCTGGCCTACATCGTGCTGGTGTCTCATCCTGCCAAGCAGTTGTCACTGCTTTGTTATTTTGCTATGTAATGCCCATGTATAAAAGAAAAGTAGCAAATAATTTTGTTCTAATGACCCATAGGACCCAAATTTCAGCAAGATTTTAAAAACAGGGATTAGTCCATTTCCACTTTGTCCTAGGATATATAAGCTTTTTTGCACAAATAGTGAAACAAAGTCATAGTTCTTTGGAGATATATATATATACATATATATATATATATATATATATATTTTAATATCAGAAGGTACCCCAGACTGCTACAGATTTCCTTAGCCCTGTTAAGCCCTATGAAATACCATATTTAATGGGCAAAGATAGACCTAACTTCAAGAGCACTTTAAAAAAAAAAAAAGATATATTTATTTATGCACACAAGATGTGTGCCAGATGTGTGTAAGGGGTGGGTGAGGGATTCACCACACAGAGTGGGGAGCAGAACAGGTAGATACACTGTAATACATTGTTGAGGGGAGCAGCAGACCAGGCAGGGGTTACCTGCTGTGCTATGTGGGTCAGCACCCTTACTGGCAAGAGATTGAACTCATGCTGCAGTGGCTGGTGATAGCTTGATAGCTCTGTCTTTAACCCCTGTCTCACCAGGGAGGCCTTTGAACAGCACTTTGAAATCAATAATCATGAGTTCTCATTAACATAAGTTTCTCCTAAGAAAGGGCGTGTAGAACAGTAGAATGCCCAAGCAATAATTTTACATTCTGCTGTTTTTTGAAATAGATAAAGAATTGATGTGTACATGTATATATTTGTTTTCTTCTGGGTAGTAGCAGCCATTCATTTTAACCTACTCTCTGACAAGCTAATACAGCAGAGAACTGTATTCTAGAAAAGGTCAATACCACAATACATGTGAGGACACATAACCCCAATGGTTAATCAAGGACCCTCATAAAGCCAGGAACTGTTAAATGAGTGCTAGTGTCTAACATATGTCAGCTAAAAAGTGGTCATTAGACTTTCTACTTGATGTGAAGGGACTTGCCTCGTCTATATAATGTGAAGGGACTTGTATCATCTATATATTGCTATCAGGAAAGACAATGTAAAATGATATTAACCTCTAAAATTGGATCATATTTGAATGTTTAGTAGGTTTACTACTTGTTAAGTAGCAATAATAAGCCCTACAAGGCAGGGTTTTATGCATCCAGCTGATGATTCTTCCCTAGAGTACTTATAATGCAATCTTGGCCATTAAGAGGGTTTCACTAGGGTGGACAGTAATGACTCCAGTAAAGGCTCTGATTGCCTTGTGTATTTAGCCTTGACCTTGTAGTAGCAGTTCAGCATCTGACCTTAGCAGTAAGGCCCACAACAGAAAGAGAGAGCAAAGTTTTAGTGATGCTGACCTGCTGCATTAGATATGAACTAATTGTGTCTGGGTGGTTCCCATCTTCCCATCCTGGATTAATGTGTCCCACTATAGCAATAATAAGTTGGGTTGTTGTTATTTACATTTCTTTTTCTGTCTCTTTTCTCCCTCTAAGCTGCTTAAGGAGATATCTAGGAAACGCAGAAGCATTCGTTATGGGAGAGAAGTTGAATTAAAGCCATATATTGCTGCTCACTTTGATGTGCTTCCCACTGAGTTCACCCTGGGGGATGACAAACATTACGGTGGATTTACAAACAAGCAGCTCCAAAGTGGTCAAGAATATGTCTTCTTTGTGTTAGCAGTGATGGAACATGCAGAGTCTGTAAGTTAATTATGATGGCATTTGTTTTTATGGTATTTTACATTTCCCCCCCCCCCAAATGATCACAGAGTGTGGTCATTTGGAGATACATAGGTATATTAATTATTCCTCATGAGTGATCTATCATTAACTCAAGTGCAGCTCCAGGCTTCCAACTCTGACCATTGCTGGTTATACTGTTGGAGATTTTATTATCAACAGATCCTAGGAGCTTAGATGGACTTTGTGTATATGGCAGGCCAGTTGGATTGTGTGTGGTGACACAAGCAAGAAAAGACGCTGGTCATCAATGCCCAGGACCTTTTTCCTCATCATTCAAAAAAATGATCTGTTTTGAAAAGAAAAAAAAAAGATAATAAACCTTGCATAATACCTGCTAGGCATCAACCCTATGATCACAATGGGAACTAATAATTTCAGTAAGTCAGTGTAGAGTATTTCCAGAAACTTGAAAATATTGATTAGTGACAATTATATTTTATTTCCTATAACTTCCAGAGAACACACTGCTTTCTATCCAAATTCACAGGCAGTATCTAGGAAAGGCAAGCATAGGCGGCTTCTTTAATTATAGCAATTTACCAGTGACTTTATCAGTGAAAAGCCAAGAAAGTTAGAAAATAATTCAATAAGACAGAGAATTCTTGAGGTACTCTAAATAATGAGTTGTCTTCTTTTATGTAATTCATCTTGCTCTTAAGTCTTTTTATGCTTCAGTTGCTTTAAATGTTAAAAAAAAAAAAAGAGGGAGAGAATTTGTAATTGGAAAGCAGGGTGGATTTTGATGTGGCAGCTCACATTAACATTTAATATACACATTCTAAACCCTATCTTTTTAATAGCACCTAAATCTGACAGGTGTGGCAACTCAGTTGAGCCAGTCACTTCCCATATAAAGAAGCTGTGATCTATCAAAAGATTTCTCCACATCAGGTGTTAGCATGTACAGTGGGGTTTCTCTTCAAATGACTGAAGGAATTCCCTCATGGAAAATCAAAACACAAAGGCAGCCTTTCTGCTTGCATTACCTTTGTGCACCAAATGTCTTTTGAAAACAATGTGACGTGCTTCCTGGAATTTTAATACACAGATATGCAGTCTCTTTCTACTTGAAGATTTTGAAGAGACTCTGATGTTGGAAATATCTTTTAAAAAAAATGACTTTTAGGTGTTTGAAAATAATTTTATGTAAATAACTCTAGGGGATTTCAGAAAGCATGTTCAGAGCTTCAAGGTAGATCAGAAAGACCAGCAGAAAACAGAAAGTTCCTCAGATCAGCAGTCTGATGGTATCACTGTCAAGGACTTTGTCTGCTGGCTTCCAAATGTTCCACTAGTATTCAAATATGTCACTATTGATGAAGAGTCCACCTTTCCCCTTAGAGTATCATGTTGTTTTACTAATTGTATAATGTAGATTGTTGCCCCAAAATATTTTCATTTTTGATAGAATTTTCTTTATTTCGTTTCCAGACCAGTTTTTGTATTATGGGAGAGACTTATATTCAAATAATACAATGTTATCAGTGGTATAGTCCTTTTGTAAATCTCAACTTGTCTTGACTGATTAGTAATAAATTACCTAGCTACTCCAGGGCTGAACTAATATTTTCATAGAGAAAATTTTTACTTCCATTTAAGAAGCATTTCTTAAAGTTGTTGCTAAGAATATCAGAGGATTAGCTTTAGAAGGTCCAAAAGTTTGGTCTGTCCTGTTACCTCCATACGCTGAACAAATTCTACTTTACATGAGGCTGCTATTATCTTGGTTCCATTGCTTTTATATTTCACAAGTCTGTTTTCCTGATTTGAATTGGAAAATGCTGTGCTTTCAGAAAAGCTCTGCTAAGATTTCCATTTTGACTAACCACAATTATTGTTTCAAAGACTTTTGAAGGAATATTCCAAATCCCAATTTTTGGCTTACTTTTTTTGTTTTGCCAATATGACTATAACCTGCAGAATGCATAAGGAAAGCATAAACCGAAACAATCAATTATATAGAGTCATGTTTCTTGGGTATTTGATATCTTTGCCAAGTCCTTTGTATAAATCTACATACACACACACACACACACACACACACAGAGGTTAGAAAGTTAGAAATACACTGTTTTTTATATTTTCACGTGTTAGAAAACATAAAACTAAAGTTAACTTCTTTCCTGGACACAGGCACGAAAATGGGAAGGAAGCATTTATAAGAGCATGCATTCTCCAGGTTGTCTACTGAACTCATATTTCTTTTTATGAGAATTTATTTAAGTGAAGATTTTTAAGATTAAATATATTTATTGAACAAGGAAAAGTGAGCATAATATCTCATGAGCAAAGAAAAGTGAGCATAATATGTCATGATAATGTTAGCCATTTGAAAATATGAATATTTTACTCAAAAAAAGAGTTGCTGAGAACTGCCTAAGTGCAAAGTTCTGTGCTGATAATGTAAACATTCCAACACAATACACCTTCCAAAAGGTTACAGATTTGTTTATTTTTTTAAAGGGCATTTTGTACAAATGAAATGCCAAGGTACAATTTGGTGAATGCCATTAAAAAAGGCTAAAGAACAACTTAATTCTTTAAAATTGTTAACATAAATTTGTGAAATGACTGATTATTTTTAGGTAAGAAGAGGTAGTTTCAACAGTGGTGTTATTTAAGTAAGCCTTAAAGCTTCACTGAATTTCAGGAGCAGGAGGTTGTGGAATTTGTGAGTGGGTTAAAGAGAGAATAGAACATTTGGTGAATAGAAGCATGACGTTTGCTGTGATGAAATGTATGTGGCAAGAATGTTTAAAAAAAATGTGGTGGCTCTTAAGAACAATGCTAAGATAGCTAGGTTTTATTTAGGAATCATCAGAGAGAGTAGAAGTAAAGTCTAATAAAGAAAAAAAAAGAACTCTTCATATGATTTGGGTAAATATGAATGAAAAGTAATGCTCAAAGAATGGAAAAAGGTGGATGGATTCAATTATGGATAAGGGTTATTGATAAGATAAACTCAGTAGGTTTTCATTCCTAGATACTAGAAATATGTGAGAAGTTGACAAGTTAACAGGTGTATCTGGGAAACAGGGAAATGACATAATTTGTATTTATGTATTTTGGAATGTCTGGAAACAGATTAAAAAAAAGTTCTGGGACTTGGCAGATTTTCTGAGTTTTGAAACTTTACAGGAGGCAACATGCTTAGAGGTTGGTAGTTAATGCCAGAACTTGGGAGACAAGGGAGAAAATAAGAGACTAGCAGAAATACAACTGAAGAATAATTGCGCAGGATGAAGTACAAGGCAGTATATTCAACAACATGTGATCAGTTGGCAAGATTGGGATGGAGCTTTTTGCATAGTGAATTAGGACAGTCAGAGAAAGAGTCATAAAGGTTTGATCAATGATAACAAATCTGGAAAGGATATCTTGAAAGGTAAGGACTGCATAAAGATAGATTTGACGCATGAAAGAACAGGAGCAACAGTGGTCTAGGAGTGAGCAGAGATGGCAGTGAGTCACATCTCAGGAGGGACAACTGCAGATGTGGATTGGTCTCTTGGAAAAGGACAGAAAAGTGAAGAGAGAATGCTGTTGTAAGACAGGCGAAAGTAGGGTATTAAAAAGCAGTGTATAGACTTCAGTCCACATTTCTTCACCAAATCACTATTTTTTTTTCCTCAACTTTGTTGAGGGAAAATAAATATAATAGGAATATTGAAAGTGTACATTGTGTAATGATTCTGAGAGTAAAGGCATTAGCATCAGCATTCCCTCATGTAGTTACCTCTCTATAGGGACAGGAGGTGTGAGATTATGCTCAGCAAGAGTACTTACTGAGACTGAGCTCAGCAGCTTTCAAGTAGACAATAACGTATTATCACCTGTAGTCATCCAATAGATAAATGATATAGAACAAAGAAATGCAAATTGGTAGAGCCATTAAGGAAAATAGAAGTTTCTATCTCCTGTGTTTGAAGTTCTATGCCCTTTAAACCCACATCTCCCCATCTGCTCCTTGCTCCAGGTTCTGGCAACCATCATTCTCTTCTGTTTCTATGAAACTGAGTTTCTTTTTAAAGAAACAACATGTAATTGATATCATAGTGTGTGTTTTTCTTTTTCTTTCTCTGTCTAGCTTATTTTGCTAAAAATCATGCCCTCCAGATTTTTCCATGTCACAAATGGCAGAGTTTTCTTCCTTTTTGTTTGAATATATTCCACTCTGTGTGTGTGTATGTGTATGTATATCATGTCCATCCTTTCATTTACCCATCAATGAACATTTACATTGTTTCTGTGTCTTGGCTATTGTGATGATACAGTTAACATAGTTTTTACATATATCTCTCTGAGATACTGATTTCATTTCTTTTGGATATACATTTCCAGTAGTAGAACTGCTAGGTTATATGGTGTTTCTATTTCTTTGTAAACTTATTTTTCATAGAAGAACCGGGGTGTAGGTCAGAGGCGTGGGGGTGAGCAGCTTCCCCAGAGACAGAGTGGGGAACAGAGCAAGCAGATTTACTGCTGAGGGGCTCAGTAGGTGAGACAGGAGAGGTCTTCTGTGCCATATGTGGGTCAGCTCCCTGTCTGGGATCAAACTCAGGCCATAGTGTTGATAGTGCTCAGAATTAAGCTCTATGCCACAAGAAAGGCCCTATTTGTAAATTTTTGAGAAACTTCTATTTTCCTTAATGGCTCTACCAATTTGCATTCCTTTGTTCTATATCATTTATCTGTTGGAATTAAGCATACTAACACCTGAGCTATAACTGTAATAAAATTAAATGAGTGTATCTAAATCTTTTTTCAGTCATACAATTTCTATATTTTAGAAACCATATCAATTTTGTACATTTTGAATTTATGACTTGAGCATTAAGCTTCTCTTCTCAAGCTGTATATTTAATTTGTCCATTATTTAACATATTTTTAAACTAATGTATGGCTTAAGGGGTTATTTACATAATTTAACATTGGATGCATGGTGATATTTTGCTCTATCAAATGTTTATTTTTACAATTTGTTCAGTCTTAACTTAGTAATAATGACTTGTGGGCTGGAACTATATTGTTTCTTGATTTTAGCACAACACTTAACACATTGACACAATATAAATGCTCAATGAATATTTTGTGACTGATTACTTCTAATTTAGACTTCATAAGATCATGTAATACACCAGATATCGATACCATAAAAAAGTATCTGTAGAGTTAATTTCACCATCAAAAATGATTTTACTATAAAAGATTTGCTCTTGTTAAGATACCTAGATGCATAACCATTACCCCTTTCTTCCTTTTTACCTCCCTTCTTCCCTTCCTCCCATCATTTTCCCTTTGATCCACTTCACCCTTCTATGTCCTCCTTTTCACTTCTCTCTTTTTGTTTTTTAACATTGCCCCACACACTCATAACTGAATCCACTACTGAATCTGCATCTTCTAGTACTAAAGACTAGCTCTAGACAGCCATTATTTTATAACTAACAGAGTCTGTTTTTTTCCTCAGAAGATGTATGCGACCAGCCCTTATTCCGACCCTGTTGTATCAATGGATCTGGATCCACAGCCAATCACAGATGAAGAAGAAGGCTTGATCTGGGTTGTAGGGCCTGTCCTTGCGGTAGTCTTTATCATCTGCATTGTCATAGCCATTCTTCTCTACAAAAGGTAGGTTTGCCCAATATTTCTGATGCAATCATTGGGGTCTGTCCTGCATTGAAAGATTTGATGATTTTCTTGGGTCATTCTGTGGTTGATCTAAGTAAAAATATTTCATTATAATCCCAGAAATCATTAGGAAAATGTTTCCTTAGAGGTACAACAAAATGTAAGGACTCTGCTATTTAACATCTCATTTAGTTGTGATAAGATTTTGTTGCCCAATAAACATGGGCCCAGCTTGTATATTCTGAGCTGCTTTGCATGGTGTTTGAGCATTATTCTACTCTGAAGCAGATAATTCCATGGAAGTGTTCATTGAATGTTTTAGATGATGAATTGCTTGATTTCAACATGTTATTTGAAGTATCATTACATATTTGCACATTTGTGTACATTTTGTAAGTCTAACAGCATACATGCTGAGATTCTTTCCTTTAGCTGTTTGTCAAGATAGCAAATGTATATAAAAGTGATAATGGAACAAGGAGAAAAAAGAAGATCATATTTTCCACTTATTCTAATCCTTATTCAACATCTACAATAGTCACATTCTCATTTGTATCCAAAGGGATGTAAGGTACCACTTTCCTTTTTTAAAAAATGTGACCTCAGTCTTCATACTCACCAGTACCAATCTTAGTGTATTTGACTATAATTAGGAACCAACTAACAATGTATACCCTAAATTTTCTCATCTTTCATTCTTCTAAATTCTTATTTCTGCCTCCTTAACATATAGGTAAGATTTTTCTCAACTGGATCATTATCCAGTAAGTTGGGTAGATGTCATATTAGTTATTTTTTTTCTTAAGCCTTTCTGAGCTTAAAAAAAATCAAAATATCATAAACACATAAAATTATATGTAATAGTCTCTCTAACATTTAGAATTATTACATTCTGTATTAACTTCCTCTTAATCATTTTTTCTTTTCCTCAATCACAATTTTTCCCATGCACTTTTATTTATGTTTCCATTTTCTATCTATGTAATTCAGAATGTATTCTATGTAATTCAGAATGCTACTATGAAGATTCTTTTCTCTATACTTCAAAATAACTCTTCTCTCTACCCCTCATTTTTCTTGTAATGTTGACCTTCAGAGTGAGAGGTTATCTTCATTTAATTATTGTTTCCATAGTTAGTCTTCTAAAGTTATATCTTTTCTTTCTTTTTCTTGCCCATACAACTTCCTTTACTGGATTACTTTAATTATTTCTACACTTTTATTATATATTCTCTTCTTATGTTCCTGGAATAGCTTCTTTTTCACAAGCTCTTTTCTTGACTCAAAAAAGTATCATTTCTCAAGACATTCTTCCTTTAAGAAACTTTCTCTTATGAGGCATTATTTGCTTTTATTCCAACATGATGAAAGAGTTGTGACAAAAAGAAAAATTAAAGAAGTAAGTTCATAACCATAGTCCATTAAATTGCCTATCCTATTTTACAGCTAGAAAGAATGAAGGAAATATCCATCATTATTTTTTCTTCTGATCACTCCCATCACTAAATTATCCATGTCATAAAATAGCTGAAAAAGCAAGTGACTAAAGGCCAAGATTTTCTGTTAGTTGATATCTCCCAATATTACCATCTGAGTACATACATCATTGGTGTGCATAGTGAGGCACCTGTTGTATTTGATCTCTGTCTTGTGGACGAGGTCAGGGTGGGAACACATGGCGGAGAAACACATGCCCCCCCCAAACTACAATCTTTTGTGGGCCAAGTAAGCTCTGGAACCTGTTGCTGTTCATGCTACCAGAAGAGAATGTAGTATTAAAAAACCAAGATTGGAAATGTAATTCTATACAATATTTACTCAGGTAGTCACATCCTCTGTGACAGATCAGAAAGATCTGCTGACAATTACATTTCTAGATCCTGTCACATGACATTTTGTGATTATTCAAAATGAACAAAGTGCTTGCCTTATTTTTTGAAAGATGTGTTCCATTCAGCATTATCTGCCTATCATTAAATTATGCCACTTGACAGAGATATACATGGCCTTTCTGAATCAGATATGTAAATGTTAGAAAATAGGATTATAAAGCTTTATAAAGATTATTAAGATTTGTAATTAAATTTTCCTTGTCATGTAACTGGGGAAAAAATCAGCCAGTTACAGTTTTTCAAATCCTGCAAAAAGAGGCATCTTATTTAAAGGTTTTATGACTCCGTTAAAATAGCTGCATTTTCCTGTGTGCGTATGTAAGCATCGTCTAATGCAATTGTTGGAAAATGCACACATCCTCGATTGCTAAGTATATTTAGCTAACCATCTGAAGACCCATGAAAGTGCTTCTGAAATAGAAATGCTTGCTTCAGCAGTAAAGAACATTCCTGACTTGAAATTCAAGTAGACCCAACAATGTTGTTCTTGATTATCATGAAGCAGTTCAAGAGGAAATCTGTAGGCAGTGAATAGAGTCTTTTATAACTTGAATTCTGAGTGAAGTTAATTTTATAATCCATATTTTAACTTTTTATATGCATTTTAGTTTACAACACAGGCTGTTGGTAAAAATTCAGAATTACCATTATTTATTATAGAATTTCACTTCTATGTTCCTGTATGCAACTAAAACTTAGTAGGGGATGAGTATAAAATACTTTTGACTCATTATCTTAATACTGGCTTTTATCATAGGCAACTGCTTACAAGACTGTTTGCATTAGGAATAGATCTGCAACTCTGGATTGTTTATCCATCTTAAGAAGTATATCTTACCCAGCTGTTAGAGGAAATTTTGTGTTATATCTGTCAATTATATTACTGTGGAAGTAGCTCACTCTTTTTATGGCATTCTATTCATTTGGCTTTGTTTATAAATTTGTAGAGCTATATTACCTTGATAGTAAATTATACTACTAGTCATGGAGGCATTATGAGGACTCTATACTATGAACCATCAGAAAATTAAAATAAATTGTTAACTAAAGGCCAGACTAAGAAAGGGAATCAGCACTGTAATCTTGTCTGTATTCAGTGAGTGTATATGTTTTTAAATATGGCTTCAGATTGCCCTTAATTTGTAGCCTGCCACAAAACACAGATTTCTTAAAGTGAAGGAAGACTTTTAGATGCCCATCGATACCCTACATCTGTTAACTAATGCTTTTCAGTCATTAGTTCTAGAACTACCTACAAATTATTTGTATAAAAAAAAATAAAAATAGGCCCTCCCTGGTGGCACAGCGGGTTAAAGCACTGCACTGAGAAACTAAAGCCACTTCCACATGAGTTCGATCCCCGCCTGCCCCGGAGGTGACCACATGGCGCGGCAGACCTCTCCTGACCCGCCTGCTGCTCCCCTCAGCAGTGTACTTTGTCGATCTGCCTGTTCTGCTCCCCACTCTGTCTCTGGTGAATCCTCTCACCCTCCACATCTCTGGCCTGTACCTCAGTTCTGTATGAATAAATAAATAAATCTTAAAAAATAAATAAAAAAATTAAAATAGAATGTAAACATGGCTCTATAGAAAAGCATTTCAAGATAGATGGCACATTTATTAAGTACTTTGTAAAAAAGAAGTGGAGGCATTTGGAAAGATCCAAGGCTCAATCAAGATAACACTAGTGTCCTTGCATTAATGTGAGAAGACACTGCAGAGAGAGTGATTTTCTCCCCACCCCAAGATGTTTGTGTGAAGACCACGAGGAAGTTGTATCTAAAATATAAACATCTACTTCTCCAAAAACATTAGCTCTCTGAGGGCTTTGCTTCTTTACTCTTCTCTTTTTTTATCAATCCTACATACATTGCATGTTGTCATCAAGGAATTATAGTCTGGGAAATCTTGAGATGTTCTAAAGAAGTAGAAGTGCCTGCCACACTAGACAATGTGATTCTGCCTTCTGGCCTTTGAGGGGGTAGTGCCCTTGGTCTGGAATGTTTCCCCTCTTACTCCCTGGCTATTCCTCTTGGCCTGACTAAATCTGACTCATCCTTTGGAAATAAGCATAGGTGCTACCTTAAAGAAAACATTCTTGGTGCCTCTTTTTTGTTCTCTCCTCTCTACCAACTCAGGGTAGAACTTAGGGAACTTAGGGTCCCTTTCCTTTGCTCTTAAAGCACTTTCTGTATATCTTCATTTTAAAACTTACTGCATTGCCAGTACTGTCCATGTTCTTGGCATCCTGCATCCAGTTTAGGATTCATCTTATTTCTCATTATATTCCTGTGCTTTATAAAGTATCTGGCACAAAACAGTACTGACACAAGGACACAAATTTACATGTCAATTAGTGTAAACAAATTGAAATCCCTTTACTTGTTTACTCTATAACTCAATATCATATTCATCTTTGCTAGCAAAAGCTATAATAAAATTTTCAATCAATAATTTAAATTAGATAGTTGCACATGTCTTCAAATTTAGATATATGCACTAAGTATGTTTCTATGTGTTTGAGGCTGACATTTCTAGGAAGCAGTGGATCAAATTTGCTCATTTGAATACTTAACATCCCTTTAATACACACAAAACTTAATTTTCATTAAGTTGTTCTTGTTTGGCCATAGGGATATATTTTTTTACTACTGATGTACTGATGCACTGATGATCTCATTGATTAAAAATGAGCATGTTGGGAACACATATGCACACACACATGTGCACTTGTATGTGTGTATGTATGTATGTATATATAGTTTCCGCCCCCCCCCATCTGACACATCAGGTAAACCTCTAAAATTAAAAACAAGCACTGTTTTTGTTATTCACTTTTTATGTGTATTTGTATAATTTAAATGTGCATTTGTAATCTGAACACAGATATTGGATTACCTTAGTGAAGTCACATTCCAGCAACATGGGGGTACATCTTATTGCCATTAAAGTACACAACATATCTTGAATCCAGCAATGGTGTATTCACTAAATAACCTTGCAGTTTATCACAACCATTTGAAGGCTGTTTTGATTAATTATTTTCAGGTACGGGTTATGCTCTACATCAAGGCAATGGTGATTTAAACAGTCCCCGTTACACAGGTGCCAGTGTCAATGAGCATGAGCTAGGTGTGTTCACATGCAGCAGCACCTCTCTGACTAGGAACAAATCTGTCATGTCAGTGGATGATAATAAAATACTTCACCTGATTAGCCCAGCTATATAAATGGGTCATGCTCTGTAGATTTATAATGATGAGTATTATAATTTTCAAAACTGAATATGTATTTAATCTTTTATTGGAAAAAAGATTTATGATCACCTTATTTTTCAAAAGACATTTGAATAAATCATCCTGCCACTTTATTAACTCATGGTATATTATACAACTGTACACATTTTTGTGTAGTTCAATGCAATTTGCAGGCAGTGTGCATCATGAAAGGCATAAGTACCACTAAAATGAAGACTCCATTTTAAATGAACTGATTTCATATGTGAAATTATGTTGCATTCCCATTAAGAACATTTGTTGTTTTCTTATGCCATGTTTTTTAAAAACCTAATTATATCTTTACTATCAAATTTTTCCTGGAATATAATTAAATGTGTCAGGAATTTGTAGGTTGACGGATAGAAGTGAATGTGACATTGACACACCAAAGGATGCTTTACTTAGTGACATGTTAGTCCTTTACTTCATCATGAGAGACCTTAAAATGTTTTCATATTGTGTCATTTCATAATGTGTGTCAGTTGTGTGTCTAGCTTATGAGCACTGTTTCTTAAATCTTGGTTGTCATGGTTACTCTTGTTACCATTGGCCAACTAACATTTAGCCTTT